GGGACGCAAAGTTAGGGGCGCCCCCCCCCAAGGCCGCGCCGCGAGGGGCGGCCCGAGGAGCCCGCGCACAGCGTGGCTTCCAGTTCCCAGGGCGGGAGGTTGGCGCGGCCCTGGCCTCCTGGGCATCACAGGCCTGTGGCTCGGCCCTTCCCCGCACCCTGTCCCGGCCCCAGCAGGGCCTCCAGAGACGGCCGATAGCCCAAGGTTGCCGCCTGACTAAGGGCCTCTGGGCTCCGGGGGAGCCCGCGCTGCGCCCCAAGTGGAGCAAGCCCGGAAGTCCGGGACGACGCCAGGGCCAGGTGGTTCCTGCTGTCCTCGGTCAGCTGGCTGCCTGGCCGCCGGGGCCTTGGGGGAGCCCACCTGCTGGAGCAGCCCTGGGACAGGTCACTTGGGGGTCAGCTGGTGGGGCCTTCCAGCCTCAGCTCTTTGACCCCCGTGAGTTCGCTTGTTAAACTGAGGCGGGGGAGGTTGGAGGCCAGGGGCTGGACTTCGTGTGCAGAAAGGAATCTCGAGTCACAAGAGGTCAGAGAGACACGCAGTAAAGAGGGTGGGCAGATGCCAGCAAGGATGGCCGCGTGGGTCTTAGGCTGCTGTCAGACTACTCGGCAGTTTGAGGGACAAGGGGCCGGCGGTGTGGACAGTTCTGGGCAGTGCTGGTCCGTGAAGCCCGCGGGCCTCAACACCCTGCCGCCCTGCCGCAGGAAGACAGGTGATGTTTGGCAACGAGCGGCAGCGCCGTGGGATGAGGGCCCACGCTGACAGGGTTGGGTCGCCTTGCTCTAGACCGTGCAGGGCCTGCTCTCAGTGACTGCGCGGGGAGAAGGGACTGCAGTTCCTGCTACATTCCTGTTCAACCCCGCAACCTTGATTGTTGTCAGCTGTGGAATAGGATTTGTCAGTTCCATGCCCTAGTGCACATCAGTGACAGGCTGGCCAGTGAATTACTAGTGTTGGTACCTCGTCACTGAGCTCTGTAATTTACAGGAAGTTTTATAGCTGTCCTGTATGAGCCCGGGACAGAAAACTCGGCTGGTGACTGGCTGTAATGCAACTGGCACTAACACAACCGTTTTCTTAAAAATTGGTTACTTGCCTCCCTCCTGCTGTATGTTATTTTCCACACACCCCCTCACTTTTTTTTAAATTACCAAACTGACAGGGTTGATAGGACCCCTTAATTACCCAAATTTCTGAATGAATTGTGTTCCCAAAAGTTACAGTGTGCTAATTACTGTAGATGGTTTCCGGTGGAAGCTGTTGTAAGTGGAGGAAGAACTTGCCTCACCCTGAAGCTGATACAAGTGTCAGCTCTCCCTAAGCTCAGGAGTTAGCAGTAGGCCAATGAGGTGTGCAGGCCCGGGGTGGGGCCACTCAGACTTCACCCTGCCCTCCTGAGACCATTGTAGGAGTTAAGGCAGACAGAACACTAAAACATTTGACCTGAATGTTGGTTACAAAAAAACTGTTGAGGAGCCAGGGGAGGGGCTGGGTGGAGAGGGCAGTGATGCAATATTCCCCAGGCCCGGGTGCCTAGTGTGACGGGGAGGCTGGCCCCGGCGGGGGCTCAGGTGCCCCGCAGGTGCCGTTGCGCCCTGGGGCCTGGATGATTCTGGGCTACATTCTCCTCTCCCTGTGCTTGTTCTCCAGCTGCAGCTGTATTGCAGTCATGGCTTTTAGTAATTAGAATACCATTGATAAAATACTATTTTCCCACTCTAGTGGTATAAACAACAGAACCGAAGGGGGAAGGCTGTCGAGGGCCTTGGGCACAAATTACAAGAAGGGGCAGTGTGGACTGGGGAGAGGCCAGGCCGCAGTGCCGAACTGTCCATGGTATCCTTGGCCGAGCTCCTGCCGCTGCTGTAGAGGTGGGGCAGGGCGAAAGGCAGCCACCCTGGGTGGCTGGGAGGGGGTCGGGGAAGCTGCCAGGTTCCCAGCGGAGCTGCCGGTGGGGTGTCCTGCTGGCCAGAGTGTCACTACGGTGCAGGCAGCTCCTGCATCTCCAGACACTGTTCATGCTCTGCACATGCTTCTCCTCTTTGCTGTGGAGAAGTCAGCGAGTGACTGATGTAATACTTTGTTTTCCTTTTTGAGGTGTTGAACCTCTGCAATTGAAGCTGTAGGGAAGTGGGCTGGGGTGTTTTGGGGAAAGAGTGTCGGGCTCGCCGTCTCCGCCACAGAGAGGGAGGCACTGATAGACACTGCAGAACCCCGGGGCGTGCCTCGCAGAGTCTCACGACTTCTAACTGTAAGATCGAAAGTCCGTTCGATACCTTCTTTGAAGGCTGAAAGCCACAGGGTGAGCAACACGGAGTGTCTGGGCTGTGTCCCAGGCCTTGACTCTCCGGGCCTGAGTTCTCAGTGCTCTCCGGGCTCCCCGACACTGCGCTCGGGATGCTCCGGGCCTTTCATAATGCGGTGATTTTTCTCACTACTTCTGCGGTGGCCGGGTCCCTCAAGAGAGCTGTGGGTCCTTGAGGTTGATGGTGCTGACCGGCGAGTGCGTCGTTCTTCAGCCAGGGGCCTGCTTCCCCCGTGGAGCGCACGCACGCGGGTGCCGAGCGGACTGCAGGCCACCCATCGAGTCGGAGCGGCAGGGCCTACCCTGGGGCGCGCCGCTCACTGGAACTGACCCGTTGCATGGAGCTTGAATTGCCACCATAGAACAGGGTTTACTGTATGAGTATAGAGGAAGGACGGTCGTTGTTAGTTTGTACTCTTCTCATCGCTAAAATCTCTGCAGATGGCTTTAGCAATAACATGTCGTAGTATGTTTGGTCCAAACAGCTGTTTGGTGTACATCTGTAAATCACATTCAGGTTTCTGTTACATTCAGTTTTCTTACTTGCTGTGACAGGTAATAAACTGTAAAAAAAACTGGGCTGTAGTGAGAGGAAATACAGGGTAACTAGCAAGATGATAGAATTCAATCTCGTACCAGGAGTTGAAGGGAAATTCATGTCCAGAGAGGGCGCGTAGGCTGATGGGGTGTTGGGGTGCATTTGGTGTTTGGTAGGGTTTCTCTTCCCCTCCCCCGGTTAATGTCCTGGTAAGGTGACAGCAAGGGGTGGAAAGGATGACCCCGGAGCTCAGTGTCCCTCTTGCTGCCAGGCTTCTGCAAGAAGGGGGCGGTGCCACTGGCCTGGCCTGCCCCCTGTCCATCCTGTTCAGGGGTGCGTCCCCTCCGCCCGAATAGTCACACCCCGAAGGCAGGGCCTCCTTTATTGCTGTGGGGAGGCTCCCTGGCGGCGTCTGCAGGTCTCTGCGAGGAAGGGCCGGTGGCGTGGCCGGGTGTGAGCTCGGGCTGCTGCATTACCTCACTCGTCATCTCTACGTGGTTGCCCCAGTCTTTCCTACGTGGGCCAGTGGGCTTTTCTTTCCTTCTTTCGCCCCCGCTTCCCTGTGCCAAGCCTCCGCCTCTTGCCTTAGGGCACCCCTCACGGCTTGCCCAGCTCACCCTGCGTTCCTGGCCCGGGCCCAGCCCAGCCCGACGCCTGCTTCAGGAAGCCTTACTTCTTTTCTCTGGGAGAGGTCATTTCAAAGCCAACCCAAAGGGCGCTGCCTGTGCTTGTTGCTACTGAGGTGTCAAGTAAGCTTTGTGTTATTTTTTGAAAAAAAATTTCAACCCTATACCCAAGAGGTAGCCGGCTAACATAAAACATATCCTGGCTTAGGAGATTAAAGTGGAAGCTACCCGTGGCGTTCCCAAGCCCAGCTTTGGGAATGGATGTATTCCAGTGAAGTGTGTGTGGCGGGGTGGCTATGTTTTATTTAAATCCTACCCACTGTGAAAACTATTTAAAATGTGTGTTTCAGCGGCAGCTTTAAAGACACTTTGTCACCCCAGCTGTTTTCACGGTTACCTTGATATTTGCACCCTTAGGGGCCTGAGTGGACGTAACAGTGATTTGCTTTGTCACTGGGCAGGACCCTTTCTGATCGGTGGGAACTGGGAATTCTCGTGTTGGGCTTCTTACAGGGCAACTGGCATTGACTGAATCCAGTGTAATCTTGAGACTCCAAAGTAGACATTTTTCATACATTGGGTCTTAGTGTGTTTAGACATTTCCTGCTCTGCGAAAGCGCTTGCGTCAGGAAGGGGCTGGAGCATGTAGCCCGAGAGCGGGACCTTGAGCTGCTCTAATGGCGCTTCTCTTCCTTTGCAGAGGATGTAGCTGGTCACTACATCTCCCCCTTCCACGACATCCCTCTGAAGGCGGACTCCAGAGAGGTACGGTTCCCCCAGCTCCCCCAGTATGACCACCGCCTGTTTGGGGAGCGTCTTGGAAGTGTGCGGTTGGAGTCAGGAACGGCGGCGGAATGACTGTAGCAGGCGCTTAGTCTCCTCCAGCAGCGTGTGTGGGGGAGCAGGCTTCTCCCAGGAGCTCCTGGGCTGGGGGTGTCGGTGGCGCGGAAGGCTTCGGCTTTGGTGGGAGTGAAGGTTAAAACTGAGAAGTGAGGAGGCTCACTAGGGGCCGAGCTTCACCCGTGACCCCGCTGTCACCGCGGCCCCTTCCTGTGCCCGTGTCCCCAGCCTGGGCTGAAGGCGCTTGCTCAGCCCCGGAGGGCACAGGGCGGGTGTCTGGGCGGCCTGTGGCTGCGGCTCGAGCGCCCGCACACCCCTGCGGACGGCGGGGAGCAGCGGGCACCTCCTGCCCTGACGTGGCAGCTGCGAGGGCGCCAAGGCCGCTCGCCAGGTAGGAGGGCGACTCTGCCAGAGGCGGCTGAGGGCGCTGGTCCCCGGCCCTGCCGTGGGGAGACGTGAGTCAGTGCAGTGTGCGTTAGTGATCGTCACCATGTGGCCTTTCCCCCTGTAAGTCCGGCAGGTCGTTGTTCGGCTGCTTCGCCGCGCTTCCTGCACGGCGGAGCTGCCACGTGCTGGCCGGGGCTGCAGGCGGGGCTGGGACGGTGCCACTGGCTAGTGGGTCTAGCTCCCCCAGAACTGTGGGGGCAGGTCAGGGAAGCCCCGGGAGCTGTTTCTGGTGCCGGAAGGGCTTGAGTGCCGTGTCGCTGACTGGGGCGACGCCAGGCCCCACAGGCAGTGGGTTTGTGCCGCCTTGCGGTCCTCGAAAACCTGGACTGGCGGCTCAGATGGCCGGTGGGCGGTGAGAGCAGAGCTGTGTGCGGGCTGGTCAGCGAGTCGCACCCCTCAGAGGTGCTGGGCCGCCTGGTGTCAGTGCTCCTGGGCTGCTGCTTTTCCCTCGGTCGCTTCCTGGGTCACGCAGCCGTCACCTTGGGAGCTCTGGCTGCAAAGCTTGTCCTCCTCACTGCCTCCTGTAGCCCTTTCGGCGCGCTACAGCCGAGATGTCTCCCCAGCAGGACCGGGGCCTGTGGAGACAGGACCGGAGGGAGGGCAGGAAGAACTCCTTGCTGCTGTGTGTGTCTCTGAGAGAGACGGGGAGATCGGACGCTTATGAAGGCTCATTCCAGAATACCTCACGTGTCCCAGCCCTGTCCTGCGGTGACCTAAAGAGCCTGCAGTCAGTGGTCACTAACGTGATCACCCAGTATGTGATCACTGTGTCTCATTGTGAGCCAGCCACACTCCGGGTTCCTACTCGGCTGAAGGAAGCAGACCCCCAGGAAACAAAGCCGTCACCCAGCGCGAGGCGCTGTGCCCCAGAACAGGGTGATGGAAGCGTGGGCGTGGCCGGGGGGGCTGCATCCTGTGACCACGGCCATCCACAGCATGGTCAGGAATCACGGCATAGCGGTGGGGTGTGGCCGGCGTGGGCTAGAAGCAGCCCAGCGGCCTGGTACCCGCCTAGGCCATGTGCCTGGGGGCTGGGAGATTAGGGGCGAGGCAGGACTGGACAGGGCGGCGCTTCGCCACTGGGACTGGGCGGGCAGATTGGCCTGCGGGGCGCGTCAGTGGGTTTCCCTGCTTCTCGGCTGTGATGAGGTGGAGCGCCGAGGTGGAGCGAGCTGTCGGTCCCTTCATCAGTGCTCGCCCGGGTGAGTAACGGCTGCGTGTGACCGCCCCTGCGGCGGCGTCCTCTCCTCCCCGCCGGCCGCACTCCACATCCCCTCAGCTCGCGGGTCCCGGGAGGCGCGTGCGGTCGTGGCCGGTTGGTCACGGCCCTGCGGTCGCGCCGCGGACGGCACAGAGCCTGCGTCGGGCTGTCCAGACGGGGCCCGCGCCAAGCACTGGCTCCCGAGCATGTGTTCCATGAAGCCCTTGCGGCTGGTGCGCCGGGGTGCGAGGGCGCAGGCCCGGGCGGACTCCCCCGAGCCCACAGCGCTGCTGCTCGCGCCCTCAGGTCCGGCAGTCACGACCGTCCTTTCTTTTGTAGGAAGATGGCCTTCCCCCAAAGAGAGCCCGGAGTGGCGAGCCCGAGGTACACCGGAAGGCTTTTACTTCTGTGACTTGCTGCTGTTGCCGCTAAGCCTGCGCCCACCGTTTGCACTTGTGCAGGGCTTCTGGCTTTTCCCTCTGCGAGACTTTGGGGGGCGTCTGGGGTTTTCCTCTCGTTTCTCTTGAGGACAGCTAGCCCTCTTCGCTGTTTTCTTGGAGCAAGCACGTTTCACTGGCTGTGCGCCTTTGTGAAACATGCATTTCGGGGGCAGAGGCCCGTTCTGTGCTGGGTGTGGGCTTTCCACGTTCCCGGACACACTCTGCACATGACACGGGGACCCCCACCCCCTCCGCCCACCCCCGGGAACCGCAGTCCTGCTCCTGTTTGTGCGTTGGGCTGTGGTAGGTTGCTCCTTACCACTCCATCTTACACACGACAGCCAGGAAAGAGTCAAGAAATAAACCCAGATTCTGATAGTAAGTTATTTATCCCGGCGGGTCATCTAAAAGAAAGGACCACTATGAAAAGTGAGCATTTAATTGATTTTTTTTATTATAGGGGAAAATAGGGCATGAGGATGTTTCAGAACGCAAGCATGCATCTTTCAGGGTGGAAGAGAAGGGGGAAACAGTCACCAACGACATGCCAAAGTAAATGTCCTCCGTGCGTCTTCCAGGGGCTGATTGTCAGCCAGGCGCACAGGCTCCTCCCTTGGGACCAGCGCTCTGGCCGCGGCCGTCACCCTGCCTCTGCCACCGCGGAAGCCCCAGGCGTCTTCCCCCTCCCAGCCTCGCCTCCGCCCGCTTCTGCTCCCGGTGCAGTGACCCCGTCTTTGGATCTGCTTCCTAACTGACGCGCGTGGGCTGCTTAGTCCTTGCTGCGCTTTCCTACCTGGTGTTTGTTAGCGCCGTGTAAGCCATCTGCGTTGGAGCCGTTGAGAGCACTTGCTGAGGCCCAGATCCCCAGCCCGTCGCTACACCCAAGCCAGGTCTTGCGTGCTGGAGGCGTTCATGTACGTGCTCGCCAGCTGTTCCCGGTGTGTCCTGTCCACGCTGACGTTCGGGGACCATTGCCCTGAGTGTTGGGTGCATGGACGTTCAGAGGTCAGCGCTTACGGGATTCATCTGGAAGTAATGGCTTCTGTGGGAAATGTATCATTACCCATCAGAGTTAAAATTTAATTCTCAGAGTAGTTCGTGGTGGAGACTGCCTGCCTTAAGTTGGCCACGTCCTTGGCATCACTTTCCTATTCTGTTTATGTCAGCTTCACCCGCGCCCCACCCCAGGCATGGGCTTGCTCCGATTTGTCGCGCACAGCGTACATGTGTTGTAGGTGCCCGCATCAGCTCTGTCCAGTCGTCCACTGATGGGGTCAGGCCGTCCTTAGGCCATCCTAGGTTGGCTCTGGTGAGAGCTGCTTCTGTGAACTTGGGCCTGTGCCTCTCTACAAGGTCTTGATCCTACTGCCTCGCACTACCACCCAGAGTGCGCCGGCCGGGTCACATGGGCAGTTACTTTTGGCTTGCCCAAGGGCCCAGCCGCCCTGCGTAGAGGCCGTGCCCACTGACAGGCAGCGCGTGTGGCTCTCGGGCTCTCCGCGGCTGCGGGAGGGGCTGTCTCCTTTGCCCTGACTCGCTTCTCCCTGGCCGTCACCGTGCGTCGTCAGGGCCGTTCTCCAGAGAAGCGCTGTTCGGATCTCCTGCCCACTTTCATTTTAGTTGTTTTATGGCTGCTTTGTTGTGTGAGTTTTCGAGGTAGTTTGGGTGTTGACCCCTTACCCGCGGAGCGGCCTGCAGGGTTGCGTTTTCACTGCGGGGATGGTTCCCCTTGCTGGCCAGAGCGTCCCGGCTGCTGCAGTCCCACTGTTTGCTTTTGCTTCTGCTGCCTTTGCTTCTGCTGTCAAATCCAAACTTTATTTGCTATTTCAGGAGTTAGAGGAAAGAAGGACTGCCTCTGTTTTTCACTCCAGTCATGTAAAATTTCCTGACTACTCTTTCCTAGCTTGATAGTTTTTCTGTGATTTGTTGGGTAAAAGTGGGGGAGGGGAGCAGAGACAGGGAGAAGCTGAAGGGCAGTGCCCCTGGCCCTGGCCCAGGCACCGCTCACCGAGTCCGCCTAAGCCCCTTGTCCTGGTCGTCTGATCAGTCTCGGCCAGCCTTGATTGATCGGTAGTTAATGTGCATCTTAGAAATGACCAGACAAATGCCAGTTTTAAAAGTGACAGGGAGGGGACGCAGGCTGTGAACATCCCCGCTGGCAGGAATACCTGGCGGGGTGTTTGCAGACCCGGCCGGCTACCAGGCGGTCGGGCCCTGCCTGCAGAGTTGCCGGGAGCCTGGCCTCCTCGCGGGCGACCCTCCACAGCGCCCAACCTCCCCTTGCCTGATGTGCGGGGGTGGATTAATTGTAGGAACACAATTGCTACCTCAGACTGTTCCAGTGGGTGCCGGGCAGCTCACAAAAGACCACAGGTGGGGAGGGGAGGGGGCACTTGTTAGGAGCTCACTCGCGATGAGAACAGGCTCGTGGAGTAGGGCAGAGGCTGCTTACGGATGGGAGAGCCACGGCCGCAGCCGTGGGAGTCGGAAAAGAAAAGTGCAGCCGCTTCCCCGAGGCCATTCCAGCCCCGTGGCTGCGCGGCAAGGCCGTCCCAGAACCGCAGCGGCCCCTGACGCTGCACCGCCCGGCCACCCGCTCTGGTGGCCGGAGTTCTGTGGTGGCCGCTGCTCTGACTTTCTGTTGTTGTATTTTAAAGATTTATTTATTCATTCGTACAGAGTTGGGGTGCAGGCCAGAGGCGCAGGGGCGGTGAGAAGCTTCCCCAGAGACAGAGCGGGGAGCAGAACAGGCAGATTGATGAAGTCCACCGCTGAGGGGAGCAGCGGGCGGGTCAGGAGAGGGCTGCTGTGCCATGCGGATACCTCCGGGGTGGGGGTCGAACCCGCACTGAGGCGGCCACGGCCTGGCTCAGCCCCCGGTGCAGAGCTCCAACCTGCAGCGCCACCTGGGAGGGCCCTGCTCTGATTTTCTTGGAGAAATTCAAGGCGTAGCCAGATGTGTGATGTAGACGTCACCCCTGGGGCTGGGGAGTAGCATTCTCTTATAGGAGGTAAGAAAAAAATGAAATGCAGGTAATACGTTTTAAGTTTTTTCTCTACTTCCTTTTGTTTTTGCAGAATTTGTTTAATATGGTTGTAGAAGTACCTCGGTGGACAAACGCAAAAATGGAGGTATGGACATGCTGTATTAACATCAAATGTAAAACGCTTGTTTCCATTTGTTTGCCAGGAAAGTTTTGAACTAGGAATGGATGACAAACTTCTTTATACTAAAAACAATTTTTAAAAACGTGTGAATTTACTTTGAATCTCATTTCAAAAATTACTCAAAGCTGAATCTACGCTTTAGGGAGAGCAGTTTCTGGCTTTGCCTGTCTCGCTTCAGCACATCTGCTTGCTGTTCCTTGACTCCTGTCTTGGTGCGTGGCGTGCACTCTGCAGCCGACTGAATTCTGAGCCTTCTGCCACCGCACGTTTGGGAGGCCGTCGGCGGTCCTGTGGGTCTTACTCCCCGGCAAGGGGAAGCCTTCTCCCGGCCAGTTCTTGATTTTTGAGCACCAAGAGCAGATGCTCTTCCCTGGTTAGAATTCTCTGCTTTAAACTTCACTCTTTCCCGTGAGGCTGGACTCTGTCAAGGATTGCCCTGGTGCTGCTCAGCATGTTATCATCTTGTCCTCATTGGTAAGATCCCTTGTTGCTCCGCATGAAATTCAGTCCATTCTGTTGGGGTAACGCTTTGTCCTCCACCTTGGGTGTGAAGGCAGATCAGGCAGAGACTTCCAGTTAGGGAGAGTTTTGGGGACTTGCCAGGAGCTCTACTGAGGGTGGTGCTGTTTCTGGGAGTGCCTGAGTATTGGTCTTGCCAAAGGCACAGTCTTACCCCTCTGTGCGGCACCCTTCCAGCTCAGCTGCGGGATAGGGTCTCTGGACCTCTGTCCCACTGGAACATTGTTTCTTCATCCAAACATGGCTTCAGTTTCTGTGTGTTCACTTGTATAGCAGAGGATTTTTGTTTTCATTATCTTTTTTCATGGCAAGTTGGACGTGTTTAGTAGAAAGGTAACTTTAAAATGAAATCACATAGAAATCTTTGCGTTAATGTGATTAATCTAAGATTAAGAAAAAAACCCAAAATTTGTAAAGAAAGGCAAGTTGAATAATCTTTATCCTTTCCATTTCAGTCATTTTATTATTTGTATTATAAATGTAATACATAAATCACAGATTATCGAAATACATAATCTGATGTTTCCTTTCTGGGCAGTTCTCTAATATAGTACTCTAAATTAGTAATAGAACTGGCTTAATCTATTTTACAGTGTCTTTGATCAGTAAGTTGGGCTGTGAATATTTAGTCTGAAAATAGCATATTTAAAAAATGTTACTTGAATATTGATTTAGAGCTAATTCTTGTCATTCCTCTTGCCCCCACTTCTGTGATTGCTTAGATCGCTACAGAAGAGCCACTGAATCCCATTAAGCAAGATACGAAGGGTGACAAGCTGCGCTACGTGGCCAACGTCTTTCCTCACAAGGGCTATATCTGGAATTACGGTGCCCTCCCTCAGGTAGCATCTTGTTACCATGGTAAAACTTCCACAGTAAAGTTAATCTCATCAACGAAGGGAAAGATAAAAACCACATGCAGTGTTGGTAGATTAGAAAGCATTTGGTAAGATTTAACATGATTTATGACTCAAAAATTTGGGTAAGGTTGGATAGATCTCAAATAATAAAAACCATGTGTGATAAACCCACAGCATACATTCATACTGCATGGTAAACTAAAACAGAAAACTTTCCCGTTAAAAGTTCACTCTCATCACAACTATTTGATACAGTATTGCAACTACTAGCTTGAGCAATTAGGCAAACAGAGGATGTAAAAGGAATCTAAATTAAGAAAGAAGTAGATCAGCCATTATTTGCAGATGACATAACATATGTAGAAAACCCTAATAGTCCACTAAAAAGCCAGTTGAAACAGTGAGTCAGTCAGGCAGAGTGGCAGCCACGATACCAGCGTTCGGGAGTCAGTGAGCTCGAAGAGGAAGCGACAGGGAAACAATTCCACTTACAACTTTGTAAAAAGGATTAAATATGTCAACGATGTCTCATAATATTAGAAGCGAATGTAGCAATGGCCCAACAGTTCCACTTCTCGGTCTTTCCCCAAGCACGCAGACACTGACTGGAAGGGAGGGCCACACCTGTGTTCGTGCAGCGCTGTTTTCCGCAGCCAGGCCCTGGGCACAGCCTGGCGCCCAGAGACAGACGCGGGTTAGGAAGATGTGTTGCAGCGATACCGTATCACCTGGCTATCAGCGATGAGCCTCTGCCCTTCATGACGCGTGGGTGGAGCGGGAGAGGGAGCTCTCTTGAGGAGAAGGGTGAATCCTGGAAGTCAGGTCTGCCGAATGTACAGAAACTGAACAGTCCCAAGCCAGTAACAAACCTGTAGAATTAAGGCTACCAGAGGGGCCAAGGGAGGGGCAGGGCCGAGCCCAGCAGCAGATGGACTGGGGGGGGGGGCAGAGGCGGTGTACCCTGGGTGAGCCTGTACCTCGGGATGAGGGGATACTGTCGAGCATGCTGCCTGCCTGCCGGCCTGTATGTGTACGTGCATCGGTACATAAAATGCCACACACAGAGGAAAGCAAAGTGGAAGAGTGGAAGAAGGCACTTGTACAGAGAAGCGTGAAATAGGTGCGGTTAGACCTGGCAGTCACTGCCGTTCAGTTGCTGTCACTGTCAAAGCGTGGGTATCGTGCACGGTGGCCCGGCGCGGACAGGATGTGCTGCAGTGTCTGGAAATCACCACTCCTGACGTGATCACACGCCGGACGCGGGCGGCAGGACGCGCCGGGAATGTCCCCCGTGCCGGCAGGGTGGCCGTGCACTTCGGGGTGTCTTCCTTGGGGTGGAGGCGATCTGCGAGACGTCCCGGTCATTGTGGTCCTAACCGGCAGCTACTCTCGTTTCCCAGACTTGGGAAGATCCGCACCGAAGAGACGAGAGCACAGGCTGCTGCGGGGATGACGACCCTATTGATGTCTGTGAAATCGGCTCCAAGGTGGGTTTTGTGGACTCCGCATCTGCTTGTGTTCTCCCGGGTGCCGCCGGGAAGCCAGCTCTCCTGACGGCGCGTTGTCCAGCTCTGCCTCGCTGCGCTGTGGCCGGGCGCAGCCCCAGCCCGTAGCTCCCCGCCGACTTTGGTGCCACCGGTCAGGCCGCGCTGCCCGGCAGGCGCGGGAGCGGGGAGTGGGGCGGCCGTCGCCCATCAGGCCAGCGCGATGCCCCCTCGGGGATCCTGCTCCCGGGGCCCAGGCGCCGCTGGGGACAGGCCCGCCGCAGAAGGCGTCTGATCCGCCGGCTGGTTCCCACTGGATTTTTGCCGGTTTCAAGAGGCTGCGTGGCAGAACACGGGTCTGCACGTCTGTTAGGCTCTGGCGGTGCTGATGCTGCTCGTGTGTCACGTGCCCGCTCCCGGAGCCAGCGGCGGAGGGCGCCGTCCTGTGCCTGTCGCTGAGGCGGTCTCGCGGACCGGCCTCCCCTGTCCGGGGCACGGTGTCCTCCCTCCGGGGCTCCGTCTCTGGGGCGCCGCGGCCGCTGCCCACTCCCGCGGGCCTGCTTCCCCTGCCCCCCGACCGCCTCTTTGCCACTTGCTTTGACCGTGTCATGACGCCCGGGCTGTCATCGGGTGGCTCTGGTTTCTTCTGCCTGGTGACGTGCGGGCGGCGCGCTGCGCAGTCCCCATCCCGTGCGGCAGGCGGGCGACTGGCCGCTCCGGCTTCTGCCCTCGGCTCAGACCCATGCCCGCCGGTGCTGCAGCACGCAGGAGTCTCCCGGCATGTCAGACTCGCCCCGTTCCCAGGCGCCTTCCCTTCCGTCTTCCTCTCTCAGTCTCGGCAGTCTGGCGAGTGCTCTGCTCCCCCACTGCCCACCCCGGCTTTGGCCATCAGAAGCTGAGGGGTCATCGCTGGTTACTGTTTGCTTCTGATCCTCCCTTTAACGTGAAATCGTGCTTCTCTGTCTTGTTCGTTCATTTCAAAGACTTCCGGAGCGGCTGTGGCTGGCTCGTGCGTCCTAACCTGCCGCGCCACCAGGCAGGCCCCGGTGTTTCTGCTTCAGGGGCCTTTGCTGCTGCGCAGCGCTCAGCTCCCGGCTCTGGGGGGACCCCTGAAGGGTTCCTGCTCCTCCCGGGGCCTGACTCTGCCCTGCGTCGCCCACCCCGCTGCCCCGCAGCTCAGTGCTGACCCCTGTCCTGCTCACGCGGCACACAGTGGGCTGCGTCCCGCCTTGCTGACCTTGCCGCGCTGGGGTGTGTCTGCCCTGGGCACGCGGGCTCGGCACAGCCGTCCTCCCTGCGCAAGGCCGCCTCCCTCCGTCTCCGCCGCTGGTGCCGCACTGGCCCCGCTCACCCCTCAGCTCTCAGTGAGGCGTCGTCTGCTCTCAGGTGTCTCCCTTCACCCTGAAGTAGCTGCTCTTTGCTGTGTTTAACTGTCTTGGGCGTCTTCTCTCTGGGGTGTGCTCAGCTTCTGGAGGACAGGACTCCCCACCCGCCCCGTGGGCAGTCGGGGCCTGGCGCACTGCACGCCAGGAACGCCGTGTCCGTGAGACCGCAGCCTGTTCCTGCAGTGAGATGAGCTCCGCTGTCGCTAGAGATCGTGCTAGGGCTTGAGGCTTCTGGCATATTACTGAACCGTTGCTTACGATTCTTTCGTTTCTAGTAGATTTACCAGATTGTTTTGATACTCCCTTTTTTCTTTCTTCCCTTCCTCGTTGTCCTTTTCCCCCCTCTTCATCCTCATAGTCTTTTCTTCCTACTTCTGTTTCTCCTTCCGTCCTTCCATGTCCTTTTTTCCTTCTCCCTCTCTCTCCTCCTTTCCTGCAGTAGAGATCTCCACTCCACCTTCATATCTAGTCTTACACACGGATAGGGCAAATCCGGGTGTGTGTGTGATGCCGATATCTCTGGGCAAAAGCTGAATTGTTAGCTTCCTTTATCACATGGACGTTTTCTCCTTAGAGAGATAAGTAATAAAGCGGACCTAAAACTAATAGGCTAGGGCCTCCTGGTGGTGCAAGGGTTACGTCTCAGCACCTTGGAGCCCTGGTCAGCCCCTGCTGCACGGGTTTGGTCCCAGTTAGGACTCTGACCCACACAGCACAGCAGACCTTTCCCATCTCGCTGCTGCTCCCTCTGCAGTGTATCTCGTGGATCCGCCCCGCTCCGCTCCGCACTCTCTCTGGTGAAGCCTTTTACCCCCAGCACCTCTGGCCTGTAAATGAGTACCTTGTGTGTTCTAGTGCGTGCAAGACACGTCAGTCACTTCCCCGTGACTTACTTCATCAGCAGGACTCTCACTCAGTGAAATAATACTACGTTGAGGGCAGGGTGATATTTTAGAAAATGCTTACACTGAGGGTATAATCCCTGGGCTGTTGAGCCCACGTTAGGCTAATTGACAATTGTCTTCGTGTACATATCAAGTGTGAGTGAGAGATTAAATGGGGTAGCTTATTTTACCTATGCGGACCTTCGTCGGTGTATGTGTGATTACTGAGGTTGGTAACTGGAAGCGAACAAATGCAAATGCCTAATACCTTGTTTCGACTTGGTGACATTAATAAGTTCTTAGTGACAAAACAGAGTAATCTGTAAGAAAACATAATATACATGCTTTTAAATAAGTCTGTCCCAGTCACTAAATATGCAGGATCAAAGTCAAGGTTTTCATTTAAGGGACTTTTAATGAGGTGCATGTAATTATCCGTGAAAGTGTACATTTACATTTTACATGGACTTGGTTCATTGTTTAGTGTGTTTTACTGAAAAATACACTGAAATGGTCATGTGAGCATCCTTTCCATTGAGTTAACACTGATATTGTAAGAGAAGAGCTTGTAGACCCTGAGCAGCGGAGTCAGGGAGAATTTGCTAGAATGGTGGGGGAATTAGGAGTCAGCTGAAGAGAACCAAGTAAATTTTTAGTTGGGACATTGGCCAGTAAGTAACATACTGAGCGTTTTTTTTAGGATTTACCTTTTTATATGTGTGGCCTCTATGTAGACCTGAAAACCACTAAAACGCTTTTGCATTTTTTCTTTCACGGGAGCTGATTTCTTATTTTCACCCCATTTTATTTTGTTCTGTAACCCGATTCCTTCATTTTCACAGGTTGGTTTTCTTCAGTATTACCTGTTCAAGAAAATTGTGCTAATGGCAATAAAACCAGGGGTAAACCCTCCCTCATAACCTTGCTACACCAGTAAATCACTTCCCTTAGCTTCTTATGCTTCCTCGGGGAAATAGGGAAACATTTTGATTTTGTTAGACATTTACTTTCTATTACAGAGTTTGCCCAATTAAGGTTTTCCTAGATATGGCTGGTCCTTCATATTTCTTTGGGGGTAGCTGGGTTTGCAAGGCAGAGATTTCCACGGGGCCCCAGTCTCTGGGGTCTGCCTGGAAAGTTGTCATGTGGGTGTGTCCCCTTGGGCCGCCCGCCTGCCCGGTGCAGGTAGTCACAGGGCCCCTTTCCCGCGGGCAGAAGGGAGGGAGGGGTGCTGGAGCTTGACATGGAGCTTGACCTGGACTGCGGAGGCGGGATTCTCTCATGGCCAGCGCAGTGTATTCTTGTGGTTAATGGGATACGAAATGGTGCTTAGGAAGTGGGAGGTAAACGCTCCCCATCTCCGGCTTCGGCCTTGTGGGGCGGGCTCCCGCCTCCCCGTGCCTGGCTGCTGTCACAGCGCTCAGAGGGGCATCCTGGTGGAAAGGTGTCTTAGCCCCGCACAGTAAAAGGGCGAAGAGCGGAGCAAAGCGCCCTGCAAGGCTGTCGGCCGAGCGCCGCCGCTCAGGCACTTCATGTGCCCTGAGGGACAGAAGCCAGTCACTGGGTGTCCGGCATACGCTCAGCGTGAACTTGTTGAAGTGAGAATGAGTCGAGATGTCGGGGTTCAGAAGAGGTTGCGCGTTTGCTCCTCAGCATCTCATCCAGAGTTTGGGTTGGTTCCCTTTCTAATTTTTAAAGGCAGTTTGGAAAGGCAGTGGTTTGAGGACAATAAAGCCATCCTTTTCTTTGTTTCTTAGAGCAAAGAGCATGTTATCATTCTGCTGGAGCTTAACACTCCCCAGGCGGGTGTGCAGATAGGGTTGCCTTGGGAATCCAGAAAATCCTCAGGTTGCTTTCACATTCATTGAGCTTTCAGGGTCAATTAATTTTTACGAATAAACGTAAAACAGCTTAGAATGTGCTTTGAGGACTTCAGCTAGACACTACCGCCGCCAGTGTCTACCGCAGGCCCCCGGCTTGGGCCTTTGCCCTCGGGAGGTGGGTCATCGCTGGAGGCCGTGACACCGTCAGGGTCTCCAGACGCTGCCCTGTCCTCTCCAGAGGAAATTGCCTCTGCTTGAGCCGCAGTGACGAGGCCATCGCGGAGTGAGCCCTGGCGGCCAGCCTTTCCCTGCCAGGCAGCGCCGGCCCGGGTAGTCAGGTCTCCCCATCAGCCCCGCCATCCTTTGCTACCAGGGTCCTTTCTTTGTAGGCTGCAGCGCCTGCCAGTGCCGGCTCGCCCTGCAGCTGAGGCAAGAGTGCCGGTGCCCTGAAAGTGAGGGTTCAGTGTAACTGTCTAACCACACTCCTGCTGTCCAGCTAATCACAGCTCCGTGCAGATTCATATTAGGACCTTACATTCATTTGCAAATTTTCTGAAAGGATTTATCTGACTGTATGGTTTAAGGTCCATTTTTGCCCACTGAAAGAATGTCACACAGAGGTGACTGTTTTGCATACCTGGCCTTTCAAGTGTACAGCTGCAGTCTGAGTAATAACGGAATTTCTTTTGAAGTGTGCGTGCAGATTTCAGCTTGCAGTGAAACTCTGCAGCCAGGTAAACCTTTAAAATAAAAAGAATGTTAAAAGAACACATCCATGTAAATCCGCCATTGCCGGTTTGAAGGCACTGCTGAAAAACTCGAGCACGGGGAACGTTAGTGGCTTCCGTGTTGTGCTATTTCCGTTTCTCTTCAGATTCTTTTGAAAGCACTTTAGGAGGCCTGTTTTGTTTGTGTTTGTACCAGATTAGTAATTCTTTCCTGGTATTCTAGTTGTTTTCTCTCGTCACTGATGACTTCGGGTTGCATAAAGGCACTGTGAAGAAATTCCAGTGTTCTGGGGTCTTCCCGGAGCAGCCGGAGCCAGGCTCCTGTGGCGGTGTGCAAGGCTCACTGTGTGTGTGACTGAGCGTTGTAGCCCGAGAACCTGACACTTCAGTTTCAAAGATCGTCGTTCTCATGGAAGGCTTTGTGACTAATTTTACGTTTTTACTTTTGTTTATTGAAGCTTTACTGAGGTTCACTCCATAGGCCTTCTTTCATGCGAATACTTTGATGTACCCACAGACTTCTCCAGTGTCTGCCAAAGGCTGAATGTCTTTGCTCTTCACAGGTTCTTTCCCGTGGAGAAGTTGTTCATGTGAAAGTCCTTGGAATCTTGGCTCTTATCGATCAAGGTGAAACAGATTGGAAAGTAATTGCTATCAATGTGAATGATCCTGAAGCTTCGAAGTTTCGTGGTAAGTCTGTGAGCCCCAGAAGCAGAAGTCAGAGGTGTGTCGGGAAGTCTTAGAACTCTCTAGGGCCCACGCGGAACACAGTGCATCTCCTTGGGCTCTCAGCGCGTGTTCTCATCGTCGCTCTCTCCGTGGAGACCAAGGGCGGCGGATGACCGAGTGATGGGCTGAGGGTGCGGCTGTAGCAGGGGCGGGGCGGGAGTGGGTGACACAGTGAGGCTTCTAACTGAGAGGCCTAAGAGGGTGCGCGGTCCCCCCTCCCCGTTTTCCCTCTATTGTTCCTGTCTTTAGAGTAACAGGAGAAAGCCAAGGAGTTACTCCTCAGAGCCCCAGGCTGTTTCCATGCTCAGATGTTGTTTTCTCCTTCAACGGAGACAAAGATGGCAGCCGTCCCCCAAGATCTGGATGGCCCAGAAAACTAACCTAACTTGGTCTGGGGCACGGATGTCCCGGGGCAGGGGCGTGCGGACCTTGTGCTGTTGCCGCCGAAGTGGGCTGGGCCCAGCGTCTTCCCACGGCTCAGGAGAGCGTGATTTCCAGCACGTCTTTTGTGTCCTCATTTGCAGATATTGATGATGTCCGGAAGTACAAGCCAGGCTACCTGGAGGCCACGCTGAATTGGTTTCGGTTGTATAAGGTGCCAGAGGGAAAACCGGAAAACCAGTTCGCGTTTAATGGAGAGTTCAAGAACAAGGTGGGCTTTACCTGCAGGCGCTCCCCGTGCCCTGCAGCCCCGGCGCATCTGGGAGGCTTTTGTGTGAATGCGTATGGGCAGCAGGACAGCAGACGTGCTTTTCCCACAGACGCTCATGTGTGGAGGCATTATCATTTTCACTGAAAAGTTTTTTTCAAGAGGTCTGTCTGGATCAGTAAGGCCAAAGAAGCGTCTGCTTCCGGCTGTCCACCTGTCTCTCGTTGGGTCGGCGCTGGTCCACAACTGTGTGGAACAGAAATGCCCCACCCCACTCTGGAGAGCGGAGTTCCTGGGCGTCACTGCACCCCTCCGGCGGCCCTCCCCAGTGTCCCTCCAGCCGCATGAATTACCCTGCTCAGCAGTCAAGGTAGCACTGAAGTGTCTCAGCTGTCACGGCGTTTTCTCCTGGGGTACTACAGTGGCCACAGAGTGTCTCTACACAAATGGAGAAAATAGGCCGGAGAATTAAAATCTGGAGTTTGTAGTGTCTTTGGAAAAGATAGTGCTTCTGTATGAGTTGCATGTCCTATAAGCTGGCATTTGAGCAGGTGCGAATAAGAAACATCTGTTTGTCAGGGAAGTAAGGCATTTTAATGACAATGTAACATTTACAGTAAGTATACGCTACTAGAATATATTGCTGCACCAGCATTAAAAAAAGTATAGTACAAGGACACTTCTGTCTTCAGAGCTTTTGTTGTATTATTAAATACAAACAGGAAACAGTGACTTTAGATGTGATTCTCTTTAAAATATTAAGGAAATAAAAATATTTTTTTATCTTTTCCCTCAAAAATACAATGTATTTTTACCCAAAATAATATAAATTTCAAATGTATATAGTGCTTTTGTGGCCCCAGGCTGCTTCAGGGTAGAAGTGCCATGCCGTGAATCACGAAAGAATGAGGTGGTTCGTTTTGGGCTTTGCTGAGCACGCACTCTGCCCTGCGTGAAGGTCAGGACGCCTGTGCAGCCTCCTCCCAGAGAGCCACCCTTGCTCGCGCTGCTTCTTCCTGGGGGCCGGGCCGCAGCTGGTTCCCGGCCCAGGAGGGGCTGAGTGAGTGTGGTCGGCTTTGTGATTCCGCTGGCGGCCCTCTCTCCTGGTATTACCCAGACAACACCTGGGCTCCCTGCCCCGCGAGGAGGACGCCCCAGCACCCCTCAGCGAGCGCCGAGGCCGCGCCTCCTCGCCCTCTCAGTGGAGAGCCGTGGCTGTGTCTCCATTCCCAAGGCAGTGAACTTCCTTACTGTAGTGTGTGGCTGCTCCTGGGGGAGGGAGAGGCTACTGCGAATGAGCGATGCCTGAGAGCGCTCCTTGAGAACCAGCAACCTGGGGGGGGGGACCGAAAGAAATTTCTGCTTTGAAGAAATAAGGAACCCGAACAAAGACGGTTGTTCTAGCGAGGTGACAGGTACACTCGCTGTTGGTTTTCCATTTTTAGACACCGTGTGAATTCAAAGTAAGAATCAAGAGTGAAGGTGTGGGCAGGTTTACTGGCCACACAGGGCTGCAGGGGCTGCCTCAGGCGTGAGGCGGGGCCGGCAGGCTGGAGGCTCGCTCTGCCAACACGGTGGCCCTGTGTTCTCCGCGGCCCGGACCCCACCGGGTGGGCGGGGGTGGGGGTTAGCAGCAGGCTTCCTGTCCCGGGCGGGCGACCATCACAGGCAGGGGGGCTCGGGTCACAGCCTCGGCCGCCCCTCACGCTCACCGCATCGGCCCTTTGCCGGGCCCTGGCTTCGGGCCCTCCTTCCGTGTTGAGTCCCAGGTGGAGACGTAGCTGGCCGCCTGCGCCCCGCCGGCCGGACCCCGCTCTCGTGCGGCTCACAGCCCCACAACTCAACAGCACTTGCCCGCGCGGGGTGGTGCAGCTGCTCTTTTTCTCGTTTGCTCCTAGGCTTTTGCTCTTGAAGTCATCAAGTTTGCTCACGAATGCTGGAAAGAACTGCTGATGAAGAAGTGCGACGGAGGTGCCATAAACTGGTGAGGCGCTACCTGTCTCTTCTGTGTGACGGTGTATCATTCATTAGCGCTGAGCAGCCACTCCATACTACGCCATCTGAGATTTTTGAAAAGGAGAATTGCCATTGTTTCCTTTAATTTAGAAAGTACCTAAAGAACAGATACTTGGAAGACATCACAGTGCTGGATGCCGTGACACTGGGACTTGACATGGTCCCTTTCCGCCAAGTGTTTGTGCAGAGTAGAGTAAGAAAACGTTCGCGCAGCTGTGGTTTTGTCTGCGGAGACTGGCGCCTCAGCTGTGGGAGCAGCGGGAGCCTTCTTACCTGGCGGGGGCCGGGCCCGGACTGAGTGGGGCAGGGGAGCCGCGGCGCCACAGGTGGTGTTCCGCTTGCCTCCGACCTCTCAGTTGCACATCTCTGGGTGTGGGTGCGGCTCTTCCCTCCGGGGTAGATTCCATGCAGGCTGTATCTATTCTACCATAACAGAACAGAAAACTAGGATCACACCCTGTGACCCTTGTGCTCTTGCAGATTTGGGGCTGTTCTCTACCCTCTCGTGGTCTGCTTGCCCACGCACACCCGGCGCCAAGTTCCCTGTGTTGAGGCGTGTCAGAGCACGGCAGCGCCTGCGTCCTCTGTGGGGTGGGCTTCCTGCTCTCTTGTCCACCCCCTGCACGGTGCGCCTGATTCCTGCCCACACTGAGCTCGGTCACTAGGACAGGGTTCTGGGGACAGAATCAGCTGACCTTGGTGAGCCCGACGGCAGGACACAAAGTGCCAGGTGTCTGGAGAGTAGCGCGGGGCAGAGTCCCTGTCCCCTCCTGGCCCGGGAGCCTGGACCCGCTGCCCTCTGGCACCAAGCTCACGACGGCCTGCGGGAGCCCTGCAGAGCCCTGTCTGATCACGAGGTCTGGGAGTCCAGAGACCCCCGGGAGCTGCTAGAGGACTGATGCGGCCAGTCTAAGGCGGTGTCCAGCCAGCTGATGTGATGGAGAGGCCGCTTGCCCCCCCCCCACTCCAGGGGTGCTAAAGGCACATTGTGCACTCACTGCTGTGCCCTGCCCCGGCCCTCCATGGCCGGCCTGGGGTGACCGCCCGTGTGGCTTGGGGATACACTGCTGAGGGCTGTTCCACCAAGCACCTGATTCCTCCCTGAGCAGGGAGTCTGCTCACATGGCCGTGGGATAAACTCAGCAGTTGATACTCTGACCCTGTGGGTCACACAAGTTTTGTTGCTATTTATTCTGTTTTTCATTGTTGACTTCCACTTACATACTCCATTCATGGATTTCGTTGTTTCTGTTCTCTCCTAAAGAAACTGTACACTACTGTGGCAGAAAGAGGCCGTCGGGCCTGTCCGCACTGCTGGAGCTTTCCTGCCTGCAGGTCACTCTGGAAATGCGCTTCCCTCCCTCCGTTTCCTCGTGTTCTCAGCCCTCCTGCAGGCACACGTGCCCTGTAACGTGTCACTGGCCAGCTGAGCTGGGGCAGGCTCGGACGGGGTGGGCTCTGCCGAAGCCACCCTCAGTTCTTGGCACCCTGACTCCTGGGGTGTTCGAGGGGCGCCTGCATTTTCTTGGTTTTCTCGATTCCTCTTGCCCTCTCTTCAAGCAGTTTAGTTAGCTGCCTTATTATAACAAATCAGAAGTGTCTGTTTTTTCAGTTTGATTCACTAACCATTATTTCTTGTGATTATTTGTTCTCAGAATTCTTCAAGTTTTGATGGATTCGCAAAGTCCTTCTAGTTATGAAACTTTTAATTCAGTTGCTTATCATTTCGTTGCTCATAGATCATTCCACATTGCAGCCACACTCTGTGTAATAGCCTGCGTAGTGCCGTGTTTGCAGGTACAAGTGTGGTTGCCCTTCTCCCGCTGCAGGCTTAGCGCGGGCGCCCTTCGGGGCCGGCACTCGGTCCTGCTTGTCTCTGTCCGGGCCCCCTGCCCACCTGGGTCCCGCCGGCACCTTCTCTTTCCTCCTCGGGCGCTGTGTCTGCGGGCGGAGCCGGCCGTGCCGCCCTGGACACCCCGGTGGGCTGGGCGTGTGCTCCTGCTGCCCGAGAACCTAGGAGGGGCTCTGCAGTCGGCGCTTACTGCCGACGGAACCAAGGTGCGCTTATATGATACGTACAAGTTTTCTCATTTTCTTCTGAGTTGTTCAGAGCAAGGTCCTGAAGTCACCTCCCCGTCGTGTCCCTTCCACCGAGTCTGGAGGTGATGGCCCAGAGTCGCCGTCGTTTTTGTCTGTTCAAATCTTTGCCCCTGCTTAGGGATGAAGGCCCGGCGGAGCAGCTTCTGGGCTCGGCCGGGACTCTCCAGCACGTGCGCATCCTGGAAAACGGATGTTTTCCTTCCTACTGCTCTGTATTCCTGGCTGTGAGTGATCCTTCGCGGCCTGTTCGGTACTGCAGGTAACCCTGCCCAGCTTTCTGTGCGTGCAGGTGTGGCGCGGCTGGCCGGCACCTTTGCTTCGCCTTCGCCGTCCCCTTGCCCCGTCTGTGCCCTGTCTTGTTCAGCAAGAGTGTGTGTGGCCTTATAACGTCTCCGCTAAGCGCCCCGCGTCCAGCGTCTTGTGGAGAGGCAGGCGCTGCGCGCTGTCCTGCTCAGGTCCTCCAGCCCGTGCACGCGGGCGCTGCCCCGGACACGCTCCCCGCCGCCGGGTCTCGGGCCCCCGGGCACTGGCTCTCCGGCATCTGGAAACAGCCTAAGGGTGTTTGCTTTGGACTACACTTCCCATCATTCACTTTATTCAATCCTGAGAAAAGAATGGTGCAGCCTAGATGGGACTAGAGCAAGAAAGCCTGTCGGAGGAAGGAGAAGCGCGCCCGGGCGCGGAGGCTCAGGTCCTGCAGCCGGCGCCTCGCTCCCGTCTGGCTCCTTCCCATTCTTGCCCTCCAGGAGCGCTGCCCACTGCCCATCCCCGGTGGCCAGCGGCACAGCCTGTCCGCTGCCCCAATCTGCTGGTGACTCGTCAAGAGACGTACTGGAGATGCTCAAGTTACTCTGAGTTTTAAACCTCTAGTGCCGTGCTGGCTTCGTCACCGGCTCCTCTGCTAAGGTTTCGGTTGCTTTTGCCTTGTGTAGGAGTAGAAAATACTGTAGGGGAGGTTAGCAGGTAACAGAAACGGGACACCAGGTGAGTGGGACCTTCAGAGCGACACATCTTGTTCGTAAACATGTCTTGCGTAATACGTGGGGCATCCGGACCCCGAAAGTTAGTTTGTTCACCTGAAGTTCAAGTCGGATTAGGTGTTCTGTGTTTTACCCGGCAGCCCTGTGTACAGACGGCTCCCCGTCCGGGCACCGCCGTCTCCCGGAATATCCCCGGATGGCGGCCTGGGTTCCTCTGTGAGGGACGGGAGGTGTGGCCTGGCGGCGGAGGCCGGCTCTCTCCGGGTGGGCGCCGACGCGTGGCGCTGCCAGCGCTTTGCTTTGTTCTTTTTGGTTTTGACGTCCTCGGGGAAGCTTCTGACTGACAAGTCTTAACATTTTTCAAATTTTAATAGGCTACTTTGACGTAGACTGTGTAACAGAACTGAAGTCTAAAAGATAATCATGCCAAGTTTTATTCCAACCTTTTATGCTTAAACACTGAACAGATGACTGGCCAGACGGTGTGTCCTCATCTATACCCCAAGGCATTTCACCGTCATGGCGAAAACCAAGTGGGGGAGCACTGGACGTGGCGAGGGGCTTCCTCGCCGCTCCTGCATCCTGCTGCCGCTCCCCCTCGCTTTCCACTGGAATTAACTCGGCCTCGACTCCCTCATCGCTAGCGCCTTGGACCAGGAGGCTTTGTTAATGCCGTTAAAAAGGCGTCCGATGGCACAGCGTCGTGCTGTGGGCACGTTTTGTTTATGACCTTGCCTGAGAGCGTGTGCAGTGACCGCACGGCCCACTTCACTTCCGTGCAGGTCCGTGTTCCCTTTGCTGACTGGAATCTACAGCCAGTGTGGAATACCTCCAGTGAGTCCTCATTCTGGGGTTGCTCCTTTCCCTGTCTAACAAAACCCTCTTTTCCTCTCCAGCACAAACGTGCACATGTGTGAAAGCCCGTTCCACTGCTCTCAGGAGGAAGCGAGATCCTTAGTTGAATCGGTAAGAAGAGTGTCCAGCCCGTCTGTCCTTTGTAAAACCTCGTGGGGGTAGGGGGGACCGAGTGGACGTTCTGAAAAGAAGAGCAATAAAGGTATCGAGCCTTCTGAGGGTCATAACGTGAAAGTCATTGTTGATAAGCGGAAACCTTAAGTCATTAAGCGGGGTGTTTGGATCCCGCACTGCGGGGCTCGGAGTAAAGGGCCGTACGCGCTGAGGCTGCAGGGAGCAGGGTGGAGGACTCGGGTGGACGCAGCAGGGGGCCTGCTGGGTGTGATTATGTCAGGCTTGGATTTAGAAATAGATAGTGTCTAAAATTAAGGGAAAAATAAAGTTTCATCTTAGGTTATGTGTTTAATTGTTTCTGTCATATTAGTAGGAAATAGTTATCTTAAAAAAGAAAATAATAGGAAGACACGGATATGCGCTAGATAACTCCAGCTGTAACTGTGGCCTGGAGACCGCATTGGGCTTCACGAGGAGGAAGGGACCGCACTGATACTTCGGTGAAGCCAGTACAGTGCAGTGTCAGACACAACCTGCCGTCTGACACTGCTCGATTGAAACGCTGCAACTCAGAAAATCGCTTGTCAGCAGCCTCACTGGCGATCCAGCCCCCACTTTGGTGACGCTTCCTCGGAATCGACACGCGGCCGCGCGGTGTTCGTGGTCCCAGCACTGTGACTTCATAGCTCACGTCTGCAGAGTCACGTTAAGGTGTCAGAATCAGGATTACTTGGTCCTCACAGACCGGCTATCTTACCACGTGGGGACATTGCACCCACGTCAGGGTCTCCCAATTCGTTGACCTCCAGCGGCGCAGGCTAACTTCTATCAGACCTGGCCACACGCAGTCGTGTCCGCCTCGGCTTGAAGGGCGACACATTGCAGCCCCAAGGCTTATCAGCGGGTTTTAAAAATCACCCCCCACACACACAATGTGAAATGTGTCCATGTAACATTCTCCTGACACTGAGCTGCAGCTGTAAAATGCGTGTGAAATCTAGTCAGAACGGGTCACGTGGTGGCAGACACTTCACTTCTTGGTGTGTATGTCGACTATGCTTGGGGTGAGTTGACGAAGAGAAACTTCAGCACAATAGCTGCTTTGCCGAACAGACTATTTTAAAATACATAAGGAGGGCCTATGCCGGTGGCGCAGCTCTCTGCAGCCACTGTAGCACGACCTCCCCGGCCCCGGAGGTGACCACAGGGCGCGGCAGCCCTCTCCTGCCCCGCCCGCTGCTCCCCTCAGCAGTGTACTTGGTCATTCGGCCTGTTCTGCTCCCCACTGTGCCTCTGGTGAAGCCTCTCGCCCCCTGCATCTCTGGCCTGTGCCCCAGTTCTGTATGCATCAATAAATACATTTTTTTAAAAAATACGTAAGGAAAAGAAGTGGACCAGTCTTCTGAGTAATTAATAGAACTGTTACAGGGAGTATTTTCTGGTGAGCATAAATTGATCAAAAACACAAGTGTAGAATTGAAACCAAAGAAATCATTAGTCAGCCACTACATGTACAACTCAGCAAAAAGTTCATCACTATAACAGAACAATAGAAAGCAGTACAACAACCGCATGAGTATTGCCAGGAAGCACTGTCAGGAAACAGGCAGAAAGCACTTGCCGAAGTGGTGTACCCCAGAGGGCTGCAGGACGTGAGGCGCGCCGCGGGGGCGCTGCGAGGCCCACAGTGGTGGAAGGGCCCCGGCGGCGCACGAGTGTCGGGGTCGGAGTCTCCCGTGGGTGCGAAAGCCCTGACGGTCAGAAGCAAGGTTCGTGCGGGGTCTCACACCGGCTGGCCTGGCGAGGCGCGGGCGGGCGCGGGCGGGCGCCGGGCAGCACAGCACCCCTGCTCACTCAGCCACGGCCGCCGGCTGCCGTGCTTGATCCTTCGCGGCCTGTTCGGTACTGCAGGTAACCCTGCCCAGCTTTCTGTGCGTGCAGGTGTGGCGCGGCTGGCCGGCACCTTTGCTTCGCCTTCGCCGTCCCCTTGCCCCGTCTGTGCCCTGTCTT